TTCGATATCTGCTCTCGTAACTAGTTGATCGCTCATGGTTGTTCAAGGCACAAAAGAGGCAGGAGAAAGCCTGCTCTGATACCACCTGGCGCAGTCGGACAAACAACAAAGATCGCAAACGCCAAGCCTGCTCGAACAAAGCTTGCCAGCGCAAGCTTAAAAGTTTTTCTGGAAATCCACCAAAGGAAAACAACCGCTAGGGTCTGATAATTAAAGCTAAAAGTTGAGTCTCACAAGTAAAACTAAGGCTGCTTAAATACTACTACAACCCAAATACCCTATCCGCTACTGTTTAGGACAAATTAAAAGAACTAAATGAACAATAAAAATAATCTATGAAAACATGTCCATGCCGCCTTACTCGTCTCTCGCCAGTTCTTCCTTGACTCGAACGACTTCCTTCAGCTTGCTCTCCAACAGCCCTGCATAAAAAAGCCACCCAATTTCTTGATTTCCAAATACGCCACAGGAGCGCCACCAAAGCCATAACTTGATCCGGCTGGGTCATCCTAAGCAAGCACTTCTTAAGGAACATAGGTTGTCTTGGCAAATCTTGCCCGGCTGGTCCAAACCTGAATGAGTCCAGAGAGCTGCAGCGACTGGACACTACCAAAAAAGGTGTTCCATCGTTTCAGAGTCTTCCCAACACAGCGGACATCTAGGCATAATCTAGACTCGTTTCTCTATCAAGGATTCCGTGGTAGGCTGTATGCGATTACAAATTTAACAGATGAACAACTTAAGTTTAGGTAGGATCTTGAGGTCCCACATTCTTATCCAACTCGCCCTATCCATCCAGCTCACCCTGTGGCGCCACACCCGCACTTGTCTATCCACCAGAACTGCTATTTGATAAGAAAATTTGACAGTAAAGACGCCATCACACGTATCATGCCATACCAACCTATCCTCAATACTCATTCGAGGCAAAGTAATCTCCAAGATGTCCTGAGCCACATTAGGAGGAAATAGCTGCTGAATCGATTGACGACACCATCCTCCCCCCACAGGGTCTATAAGCTATGCCACTTTCGGGTCAGTGCCCTCCGGAATGACATGAGGCTGACACCTAAGAGAGTGGGGATGAGAAGCCGAAACCCAGCTCGAATGTTAAATAGAGGCATGGACCCTATTCCCAACCTGCCACCGAAGTCCACGCAGGAGGAGTTGCCGTCCATGGAGAATACCTTGCCATCCCCACGATGGGCGTGACCGAGTAGTCGCAGTTAGAAATGTACCATTTGGAAAGTACTTGACCTTATATATTTGGACCAGGAGAGAATCAGGTTCATTGAGAATGCGCCATCCAATTAGCCACGAGGGCTTGATTAAAATGCTCAAATCGTCGGAAACCCCCCCCCCCCCCAACACGTTTACTCGTGCACAAGTTCGGCCAAAAAATCCATCTAACCCGCAGACGGCCCCCTTCCACCCCCCACCAGAATCTAGCAACATGCCTATCCAGTATTTGACAAAGAGACAGGAAGTTTAAAGCATGACATAACATGTAATAACAAAGAGTACGCAATTGATTTAATTAGCGTCTCCTTTGCCGCCCACGATAGCACCTTCTGCTTCCATCCCTGCAACAGTGCCTGTAACTTCTCCTCCAAATACCGGAAAGTAGCCATTTTGGACTAAGAAATCAAGGTGGGTAATCCCAAGTATTTATCATGGACACCAACCGCTCCTACCCCGAGCTGGAGAGCTAGGGCCTCTTGATCAACCGACAAAATATTCTTGCTAAAGCAAACTGCAGATTTAGCCAAGTTGACCCTCTACCCACTAAGCTCCTCATATTCATTCAAAACCACCAACAAGTTCTCACATTCTTGCATCGATCCTCTGAGGAACAAATATGAATCATCCGCAAAGAAGAGATGTGAGACCCGCGGAGCTCTAGGACTAACCGGGACACCAGCTAGCTTCCGCTCCTCAATGGCCTTACGCAAAAGCGCCAAAAACCCCTCAGTGCAAATAACAAAGAGGAGGGGGGACAAAGGGTCTCCTTGTCGAAGCCCCCTAGTCGAATTGAAATAGCCAGCTGGTGTACCATTCAAACCCCATTTTCCTTAAGACCACAAGTAAGAACGACCATTCGACTTTATCATAGGCCTTTTCCATATCAACCATCAGAGCCATATATCCTTTATTACCCTTAGTCTTAATTTTAAGGTAGTGCATCAATTTGTGACCAATAAGAACATTATCCACAATCTGTCTTTCACGAATAAACGCGTTCTGTCCTGGCGAGATTATCGCAGGGAGGAACCGAGCCAATCATTCAGACATAATTTTGGCAATGATTTTGTGCACGAATTGACATAAATTTATAGGTCTCAACTGGCGCATATTTTCCACATTATCGACTTTGGGAAAAAGCGTTAGCCAAGTATGGTTAAAGCTTCATAACATAATTCCTGTATGAAAAAAGGCACAAACATCTTCTACCACAGAACCACCAACAACATCCCAAAAAGCGCAGAAGAATTTTGCAGTGAACCCATCTGATCCCGAAGTCTGGGTGGGTCCAATCTAGAAGACTGTTTTTCAGATTTCCGATGCCAAAACCTCAACAGTCAGAGCCGCATTCATCTCCTCAGTGACCGCCCTAGCAATCGGTAACTCTGCCACCCGGTCCTCCATATTCTCCATATGGTTCTCAGACGTGAAGAGAAGCTGGAAGAAATCTACCGAGATATCTATCTTTCCCTTCTCATCAATGACCCATTCATTATCCCCATTCCGCAACCCAGCCACAAAGTTCATTTTTCTCCTTGCCCTTGTGACTGTATGGAAATATGAAGTATTACTATCGCCTTTTTTAGCCATCGAATTCAAGATTTCTAATTCCAATAGACCTTCTCAGCCTCCCATTGGCAACTAAGCTCCATTTCGAGGTCTCTAACCCTATCCCAATCAATAGGAATCAAGTGCTTTACCTGCTCAATCTCAGTCTGGAGTGTCTTGATATTCCTGAGGGAATTAGTCGTGCCAGCCCGACTCAAATAATACAAAAGATGATGGAGCCGCTTTAGGCATGCCCATAATCTATACATAGGGGATCCATTGATAGTCTCATTCCACACAAACACAACCATTGCCCTGACTTCCAGGTTCCGCTCGGCGTGCATCAAACCGGAATAGAGGTCGTCTCTTTCGCGTAAAAGGTTTATCGGATAAAAGAAGAGCTCTATGATCTGATCCCTGATCCATGTGATGCTTCATCAAGGACTCAGGGAAATGCTCCATCCAGGACTGAGATCATAAAGCCCGATCAAGTCTCTCCCGAACACAAACCGGTCCCATCCGCTTATTGGTCCAAGTGAACTAATCCCCTTGGAAACTCACATCGTGTAGTCCCAGCTCAGTCACAAAGTTCCTAAGAGCAGAGAACTTGGGAGGGTTCCAAGGATTCCCACCATCTTTTTCATTGCCCGAGAGGATGGAACTGAAATCACCTATCACCACGGAGGGTAATTGGATTTATTCATAGAGGTTTCTTAGATGATTCAATTGCGTCGCACGAATAGCATCATTGCAACTAATATACCCACCCACAACCACATAAGAAAAATTATTCTCATTAATACGAATTAAAATATGACAACTAGAATGACTCAACACCAGAGCATCAACTCCGGGGGACCAACCAACAATCAGACCACCAGACGCATTACCCGCGTCAACAAAAAACAATTGGACAAATCAAAACCTAATCTGCGCATCCTACGGGACACTACCCTACAACTCGATCTTGGTCCAAAAGGAAGACTAGATCAGATTTATTGGAATGCAGTAAACCTAAAGCAGTACGGAATGTGAGGGTTGGCCCAATCCCTCTCACATTCCAAGCCAACATCCCCATTTATCCTCTTGAGGCCATTCAGGGCTAGCTACCTCCACGGCTCCACCTCTTCAGTCTCTTCATCCACTTCAGTAAATTGTCTTTTGGGAGATGGGTCATCCCACGGATCACCCCCTGCTTCCTGAAAACCTTATTTTCTTGATCCCACCACCTGGCCTTCATTAGAGCCATACTCATTTAGATGTAGACTTGCAGTCATTGTCCCCTCCTGGGTTTCCTCCGCACTTGGATGCCCAATACCATCAGACTTTGTGAGCTTCGACGTTGCCTTATTCTCAAAGACTTCAACAGCACGTCGCACATGTCCCTTCCCAGGGATAGCAGATCCAGGTCTCATATCTGAAGCAAACGTATTAAATCACAGTCGAATTTGGACAAGACTTTTTAAATCACGGGTCGAAAGAAGAAACCAATTTTTAGAACATAAGAAAACTGGGGTGTCCATTTGGATTCCGTTAGCCTCTAGGGCGGGTCAAAACTTCCCAATCCCAATAAGAAAGTCCAAAACCTAAATCCATGAGTGTTTCTCCCAAAAGCCTATCAAACCTACACAAAAAAAAACCCGATCATCTTTTGGAACTAAGAAAAGGTTAGTCTTGATTTCCTCAAGTTAGAGGCTCACACTATTCTTAAAAATTGCTCAGAATCTCTGGAGGGAGGTCCAAACCGTCTAACCAGGCACCCCAAAAAATAAACGGGCTGAAGAAATTGATCATCGACCAACTTAAACTTGACAAGAAGAAATAGAGATTTAAATGGTAACATTGTTATTTTGAATCTTCCTCTTTTAGATTGTCTAGATTTTTAAAGTGAGAAGTTTAGTCAAAATCTTTCCGCATCGAATTTTCAATCCAAACTACCACTAAGTGGTCGTTTGGAGAATAAAATTTAGGTCTTGGATTCATTGAATCCGTAGATTTTGTAGAAAGTTTTTTATTTTGTTTTTTCTCTCGGCCTCTAAAGAGTCTCTTGGTCTTCTCACTGGTTTCAAGTGTTGACACTTCATCTTTCATGTTGTTCGGAGTGTATTTCTCTGCTTTTGATTGGATTCTTTCTTGATCATCCTCTCTTTTCAAACCTCTTTTGACCCTATATGTCGTTCTCTATCTCCATTTCTTCCTTGATTCTTGTTTTTCTGTCTTCACTTGTGGCTGACGTTTTGTCTCTCCCTGTGAGGCTGGAGCGGGGCTCTGTTTTGGCTTGGTGTTCCTGTTTCAATCATGGAAAATGAGTTAGTGGAAAAGCTGTCCGGGATTGGCTTGACTGAAGATGAAGAGACCTTCATCAGTGTTGATGACACGGTTACAACAGAAGGTGTTGAGGAAGTTATAAAAGAATTGGGGGTGGCTGGGAAAATCATTAAAGGAATGCCTCCCTCTGCTACTGTCCTTAAAAAAATTATCAATGAAGCCTGGAAGCTGAAGAGAGAGTTTAATATACAAGTAACAAAATACAATATTTTAAGAATTCAACTCTACTGTTACGACGACAAGAATAAGGTCTTATCTGGAGGGCCATGGCATCTGGAGTGTCAGCTCCTTATCTGTAAAGAAATTCCTCCTGACCTAGAGTTGAAGAATCTGGATTTTTCTATGGCTGATTTCAGGATTCGCATACGAAAGTTTCCTCTGAATCTCAGAAACGGTCAGATGGAGGAAAAGGTTGGAGAAATGTTTGGTAAGTTTATCCAGTGGGACGAACTTCACTCTGGAGTCGGTAGTGAATATATAAGAATCAGAGTTTCTCTAATTGTCCAAAAACCTCTACGAAGGATTATCAAGCTGCAGGGTAAAGATGGTTCTGTCTCCTACAAAGTCGGTTATGAAGACTACCTATTTATTGCTTCAAATGTGGTTTATTTGATCATCTTAAAAAGTCTTGCCCCTTACTGTTGGAAGAAAAAGTGGAAGAAGAAGACTTGTATGGGCCCTGGCTTAGAGCTGATTCTCCCCTGAAGAAGATCCATTTTCAAGAAAGGACGGATCATCCAAACTTGCAAAGCTTTGGGCAGAAGTGAAAGAGGAGAGAAATAAGAAATAAGACAAGGAAAGGATACCAAAGAATGTTCCAAACCAGACAGAGAACCCTCGAAAATATCTTCAAACAATTAAAGCTATTGAACACAAGTGCATACCAAAACAACTGCATGGGATCACATATACTCACAAGAGTATCACCACCTCTAATAACAATATGGAGATCACATATACTCACAAGAGTATCACCACCTCCAATAACAATATGGAGCAGTTGGAAGGTGAGGAAAATTTGAAAACCTAGTGGACTACAGAGCTCCAAGGGAAATGAAGAACCAGAAGGATGCTGAAGTGGTTCATAAAAAAAATTCGGGTGGGAGTCTTCAAGGACAGGGAAAGAAAACTTGGTCCACAATTGATAGGGTGATCTCTAAAACTAATGAGCAGAAGGAGAAAATCATAGCAAGAGGAAAGAGATCAAACTCAGATGCCATGGACATTGATATGGAACCTTTGATAGAGAAAAAACACAAACCTATTTTTTCTTCTGATGAGGATGGCAGTGTGGCGGTCCTTGCCGAGGAGCAAGGCCGCCGAGCCCAATGAAGATCATCAGTTACAACTGTCGAGGTTTGGGCAGCACCTCGGCAGTTGCTAGATTGAAAAAACTTGTCCGAAAGCATCAACCTCACATTCTTTTTCTCATGGAAACAAAAAAAGACAAAGATGGTTGGAAGGAAATACAGCAAAAATTGGGTTTTACGGGTGGTTGTGGAGTGGCTGCTAGGAATGACAAAGGGTGGAAGGCAGGTGGACTTGGCTTGCTGTGGCTTGATGAAGTTAACATCATAAAATTGATTGATATCTTACACCATATTGATGCTATCGAGTAGTGATGAGAAGGATCATTGGAGATTTACAGCCTTTTATGGTTGGGCTGAGAAGGAGGAGAGATTTCGTTCGTGGGATCTTCTAAGAGACTTGAAGAATGGATGTTCCCTACCTTGAGTGCGTATGGGAGATTTTAATCAGGTCTTGCTGGGGTTGAAAACAGAGGAGGCAGACCTATTAACGAATTTCATGCGATGGAATTCAGAGAAGCCTTGGAGTTTTGTGGATTGCTTGATTGTGGCTTCAAAGGGTATCCGGATCATCAACTGCTCCATCTCGACAAGAGTGGATCTGTTCACTGCCCAATTATCCTATATACGCAAGGAAGGGATGAAGATGAGATTAGATGGGGATGGTATTTTAGGGTGGAACCATACTGGCTTAAAGATCCTGAGAGCAGTGCCATTGTGAGTAAGGCTTGTGAGGAGGGTTCAAACGAAAATGTTTTGTCCATTCTTGATAAATGTAAATCAGAGTTGTATAATTGGAGTAAAAGCAAATAAGGGGATATCAAAAGGAGGCTAGAAAGAGTTGACAAGCTGCTAAAGACTTTTAAATTTAAGGCAAAAACGACAATTGTTCTTGAACAGAAAAAAGCTTTGGAAGCCGAGAAGACAGCTTTGATCCATATTGTAGATCTCCTTTAGAAACAAAGATCACGAACAGATTGGTTGCAAGGAGGTGATAAGAACACTAAGTTCTTCCATTCTAAAGCAACGTCAAGAAGAAAGAGGAATACCATTTAGATGAAAGGATGATAATGACAGAATCTTTAGAGGGAAAGCTGAGGTCATAGGGTGCATTACTAATTATTATAAGACCCTTTTCAGAAGGGAGGCTAATACTAGGTCTGACCGGGTTATCCAAGCTATTGAGGCGAAGGTTACACCTGCCATGAATGAGAGGCTTATTCAGCCCCTTAAGATTGAGGAGATTAAGGATGCTATTTTTCAGATGGGGCCAAATAAATCCCCAGGTTCAGATGCCTTCTCTGCAGGCTCCTACCAAAGGAACTGGAGTTCGATTGGGCAAAAGGTGACTGATTTGATTCTTAATTTTTTCAAATCCGGAGTTCTTCCCCAATAGATAAACCACACTCTCATTGCCCTTATCCCAAAGGTGAAGTCGCCGGCCACTGCTTAAGACTTCAGACCGATCAGCTTGTGTCAGGTGATTTACAAAATAATTTCTTAAGTCTTGGCCAATCGTTTAAAACTTATATTGGATTATATTATTTCTGAGGAACAAAGTGCTTTCGTCCCGGGAAGATGCATTACTGGCAATGTTATTGTGGCTTTTGAATGCTTTCAGTTCATGAAACGGAGAGAAAAGGCGAAGGATGGTTTCTTTGCATCAAAATTGGATATGGCAAAGGCCTATGACCGAGTTGAATGGTTCTTTTTTGAAAAGTTTATGAGGAAAGTGGGGTTTGATGATAAGTGGATTGGCTTGGTTATGAAATGTATATCTTTTGCCTCCTATTCTGTTTTGATCAACGGGCACAAATTCGAGCAATTTCTACACTCTAGAGGTCTTCGTCAGAGGGACCCGTTCTCTCCCTATTTCTTTCTTCTGTGTGCAGAAGGGCTTACTGCCTTAATAAAAGAGGTTGAAAGGAAAGGGCAACTGCATGGAATTCAGGTTCATAGGAAAGCCCCTAGTGTTTCTCACCTTTTTTTTTTATGATGACAGTGTGGTGGAAGGGCTAAGCTAAAGGAATGTGATGAACTTAAAGAAATTCTGGAAATTTATGCAAAGGAATCTGGCCAGCTTATAAATTTCAACAAATCTGATATCTCTTTTAGTAAAAATATAAGATTCAGCATAAGACTGGAAATTTATGGTACGCATGGCATTAAGGAAGTGGAGAAGCATCCGAAGTATCTCGGTCTACCAACTGTGGTTGGCAGATCAAAGAAGGTCTTATTTGAAGACATTAAGGAAAGAGTCCGGAAAAACTTAAAAGATTGGAAAAGCATAATGATGTCGCGAGTAGGGAAGGAGATCATGATTAAGGTTGTTGCCCAAGCTCAACTTCTATACTCGATATCAGTTTTTCGAATTCCTGCAGGTACCATTTCTGAGATTCAATCTTTGATTTATATCTTTTTGTGGGGGCAAAAAGGAAAAGAAACAAAGATGCATTGGCTGGATTGGGAGGAGCTCTGTGATGTAAAAGAGGAAGGTGGTTTGGGTTTTAGGGACCTACAAGCTTTCAATTTGGCCATGCTTGGTAAGCAAATGTGGAATATCATTACTAGACCGAACTCATTGATGGCTAGAGTCTTGAAGGCGAGATACTTCCCTAAATCTGACTTTCTTAATACTAAATTGGGTTATAGGTCGATTTTTAATTGGAAGAGTATTGTGGAGGCTAAAGATCAGATAGCTGATGGTTTTAGATGGAGGGTTAGTGATGGGGAGAACATTTCGGTTTGGGATGATGTGTGGATACCTGGAAATAATTTTTTCCATGCTAATCCTTTTCCCTCTGGTGCACTATCGAATGACACTGTGAGTGCCCTCATTGATTACAGCAAAGGAGGATGGGACGTGGACAAAATTAATGATCTCTTTTCTGAATATGATAAGATTCTAATCCTTAAGATCCCTCTGCGTTTTCCACCAAGAGAGGATGCGAGAGGTTAGAGGGACACAGAAGATGGTATCTATTCGGTTAAGTCTGCTTACTTGAGGATTCGTGGACATCAAATGAGCACTATGTCACGACTACATGATATATCTGATGAGGAAGCTGAGTTTTGCAAATCCCTATGGAAAATTGACATTCAGCCTAAGGTTCGAATCTTTCTGTGGAAAATAGGTAAAGGTATATTACTTGTTGGATTAAACATTGAAGAGTGGATCGACAATGCTTGTCCAGATTGTCCTTTTTGTGGCCTCCCTGAATCCCAGATGCATGCCTTGAGAGAGTGCGACTGGATCCGTCGCAGATGGAGTACATGTGAAGAAAAGGATGTGTTTGAATTAGGAGAAGGAAAATCTTGTATTTAGTGGTTGAAATTAGCTATCAAATCTGTCTCAAAAAAGAAAATTCAAAGATTCAATGTTGTACTTCGGTACCTGTGGAAAGAGTGGTGCAACCACAAGCACAACAATACAAAGATGGAAGAGGATCAAATCATCCCTAGAGCAATTGCGTGGCTTTGTTCCTATTTGGGTGCCTAGGACGGTCCGGACACGAGGAGCATTGCAGGTCACCCTCCCAACTCGAGGATGCAGATCTTACGGTGGAATCCACCCCCTGAAGGGGTCTTTAAAATGAACTCTGATGAGGGTGTCTTCTCCAGTTCTGGAATTGGGCTTGGTTGTATCATACGATATTGGAGGGAAGAATTTTGTGGTGCGACAGCGAGGAAGGAAAGAGTTGCTTGCAGGCCGATTGAAGCCGAAGCAAGGGTGATCCTGATGGGATTGAAGGAAGCAAATAGAAGGCTTTTGAGCCCCATTGTTGTTGAATCGGACTGTCAGTTTCTGTTGGGAAAATTGAAGAAGAAGGAGGTTGACCAGACAGAATTGGGATTGTGGTGCAAAGAGATTTGGAAGTTGGCAAAGGAGAATGAAGCTCTGTCTGGTTCTCCGATAGTTTGGAATTTCATTCCTAGATGTTGTACTGGGTCTGCCCACTGGCTTGCCCACTCTATTTAAAGTTGGGAAAACCAAGTTGTTTGGATTTGTGACCTTCTTTTGCCTTTGTGCTAAGTTTGTTGGAGGCCGATGTGGGTCGTGGCCCTAGTGGCCTAACTTGACTTCGTTTGAATGAAATTCACCAGATTTCCTGTAAAAAAAAAAGATTTCTTTTCTCCTATTTTATTCTTTCCCTTTTCATTTATCACATTCAATATTTTCTCAACCACTCTAATTTTTTATTAAGGATAAACGTGAATTTTTATTTTATATAATTAGAATTTTTATTGAATGTTAAAAAGAATAGTTATCAAACAATGGAATTTTAAAATTTGTTTTTAACAATCTGTACCATTATAACTTGGCTAAATTACACGTTTGGTCACTCAAATTATACAAATCTTTCACGTTTGCCACCCGAATTACTTTTCTTTCTTATTCGCCACTAACTTTACGAATCGTTTCACGGTTGGTCACCGGCCGTTACACTCCGTTAAGTCTGCCCTACGTGGCAGTCAACTATAAAGTTTGACCGTTAACTAGATGACGTGGAAATTAAAAAAAAAAATTCTTTCCACCTCATCATTTCAGACCGGTTCGGTTTGTGATTCTTGGGTGGGTGTGGCTTAACTAATAAATTAATAAAACAAAAAAAAACTAAAGCAGGCTACGGATCCCTTCCTCTTCCACTCCTTCATTCTTTTCTGGGTCCTTCCGGCTTCTGCAGTGAAGTGATGCGAACTCCTCTTCCGTTGGCCTTGTCTGTGGCTGGGCAGTCGCCTTGAAGAAATCAAAACCTCAAAGATGAGCCATTTCTGGACATTCCTTACCCACGTTCACACTGTTGCCGGGTAATTAAAATTCCCCTCTTTCTCATCACTTGGGTAGTTTCTGGGTTGCGCCCCTTTCGATCTTTGCTATCCCCGCCCGCCTGTAATTTGATCGGATGCTTCTCTTTTCCCCCCTTTGTTTTCCCTCTGGATGCAGGCCGGTGACGATGCTGCTTTACCCTCTGTAAGTAGTGACCATCTGCTGCCCTAGCTAGTCAGCCCTGTTAAATTCTCTTGTCATTTCGAAATTGGTCCGATTGAGATTCCCAGAGATGGGTTTTCAAGTGAAAATGACTTGTGGTGCGGGAATCAATTGTTAGGTATGCGTCAGTGATGGCGATAGAGAGCCCTGGTAAGGAGGACGATGAGCAGTGGCTTGCGTATTGGATCATTTACAGCTTCTTAACCCTCTCGGAGATGTTATCGTCGAGGGACCCAGAAAAGAATGAAGGAGTGGAAGAGGAAGGGATCCGTAGCCTGCTTTAGTTTTTTTTTTTTTGTTTTATTAATTTATTAGTTAAGCCACACCCACCCAAGAATCACAAACCGAACCGGTCTGAAATGATGAGGTGGAAAGAAATTTTATTTTTTTATTTTTTTTAATTTCCACGTCATCTAGTTAACGGTCAAACTTTATAGTTGACTGCCACGTAGGACAGACTTAACGGAGTGTAACGGCCGGTGACCAACTGTGAAACGATTCGTAAAGTTAGTGGCGAATAAGAAAGAAAAGTAATTCGGGTGGCAAACGTGAAAGATTTGTATAATTTGAGTGACCAAACGTGTAATTTAGCCATTATAACTTATAAGCATATGAATAGTAACAGCAGTACAACACTAAGTCCATGTTGACCTTTCTGATACTCACTCAATGGGCTAGTCTTGGTCAGCCTTCCCTGCTAGAAAGAGTTCATTTTATGTCATAGGTGAATGATACAGGGTGGCTTGATGAGAGCGAAAGTCTCAAATTTGATGAAGTAATCTATATATGGCACTCAAAAAATCATGTTATACATACCCTTCAGATCATACATCTCAACCTTGTGTGTCAAACCACACTGTATCATTCATTGGTGAGTAAGCAGCTGGAGATAACTATTTTTTTTTTTCCATTGCTCATACATTTTGCCTTCAACTTTCAGGAACTTCTACAATAAGATGTTCCAAGTTTGAAGCTTACTGAGGTGGTAAGCCCAGAATCCTCGACACAAGTCTTTCTTCTCTCACTTTTTGTTAAGAAGGTGACCCAGGTTGCGAAGTTCTTCAAAAGCATGCATTGTTTCTGCATCAAATCCTCCAGCAAACTGCATCAACCCAGAAAAGCCTATCAGTTAACCTGCTGACATATAGATTATCAGGTTAAATGAGTATTCATGACTAATTGCAAAAAAACTCTTAATGTTTCAAGCTTAGAAACCTGATGAATTCTGAAAGCAAATCTAACTCCTTGTAGCAACATGTAATCCAATGCAGGGTCTTTCTCAACTGATGCTTTAGTTTGAATCTCTACCGCAACCCTCTTCATATACTTCTTGGCCAACTTAACCGAGCCAATCTTTATCTGCAGCATAGCATAATAGGCAGTTTAAGCCCAATCTTCACTTGAAGCCGCAAATTACATCAAATTGAAGGATCAACTTTAGCTATGGTCAAAATACCTTGCTGATAATACCATTATCAAGCATCCAATCTGTGGGAATTTGAAACTCTTTGCAATGGCGCATCAAGGACTCTCTTGTTCTCAGCAGGTTGTAGATCGTACGTTCCATCCTGCCCATACAAAATGAATTCAGTTCCTGTTATTTTTTTCACTCACAAGCATCATTAGAGTGATAAACCAGTGAAAAGGGTATAACTTTCTTACTTCTCAGACAGAGACACCATCTTCTTTAATGCCAAGTCACAAGGAAGCCGGGGATCATCTTTGTAGTATGAAACTTCCGACTCCAACTTTTTCAGATCGGCATAGCCAAATGCTGCTTCCCTCATTATGTCTGCCTTCTTCTCTGGCCAGTCAAAGTGCTTCAACACTGCCCTTTCATCCACCTTTACAGCAAATGGAAGCATACATGGTGATGCTTTGCCGAGAGGTCATTTATTTTACAGTTAAATAGATTGTGTGGCATTCTCTTTCTTTGCATTTTCTATAGTTCGTTCTTTTGTAAATAATAATACCACATTGCAGTAAAAAGTTATGATAACTTACCAGAAAACCAAGTTCATCATCAAGCCACTTCACAAATGCCACCACATCTTCAATGCTAGGGTAAACAGCAGAGTTGACCTCTTTTATGATTGAATTGACAAACTCAGCTTGGGTTTCAACATCTGCTTTAATCTGCAATACATTAAAATTTTTTATCATGGAACATCATATACTACATCAGATACCAAAAGATTCATCCAGAGATTGCTCTGTTACTTACAGCAAGCAAATGTGATGATCTATTCTCAATTTCGCCAATCATGCTGCTATGGACGTTTGCAACCTCTGAAGCATCACAGGTTCCCCCATTCGAAGCCTCCTTTCTCGAGTCTCTCTTCATGAGTGAATGGTAAAACTCAACTACTTGTGGTGCTCGCTGCACCTGTCCTCCTGTGGTAGTCTTACCTGAAAACTTGGGAGGCGGTGGTGGTGGTGGAGGAGGAGGTGGCGGTGGAGGAACTTGGGCAGTTTCTTCTTGTTTGGTCTCGCTAGAAAAAATCGAACAGGAAGGTCTTGGAGGAGGATTGGGAACACGCAAGGGCCTCTTCTCAACATCCACTGATGCTACAATTTTGTTGGCCTCTTGGAAGTTCAAACTTTGTACCATTTCTAAATCATAAGTCTGGGAAGCTAGTGCGGGTTCTGCTTCCTTTCCCATTTCCTCTGCGCTTATAAAAGCATCAGATTGCCTTCTCTTACTTGGTATCAGCTCTTCTATGCTTAACTTTGATCCACTAATGGAGTGCCTCCTTCTAGGGCTCCTCACTTCTTCTAGATGGATCCAACTCTTATCCGTGCATTCCAAGTTTGACAGTTCTTGATCAGTAATTGGCCATTTCTTCAACTTCTTGATAAAACTTAACCTCCTAGTACCACTGTAATCCGAGTAGTCACCATTCTGGCACCAAGGCGATGGACCTACCAATTCCTGACTCCTGCCTGCTGAACTGGGGCTCTCTGGAGCTTTATCAGAATTTCTTAGTTCATCCCTTAAACATGAATTGACCCACCTCAAGTAGGCAAGCTCCTCAACCTCATTTAATCTGCTCATCTGCAGACCCTCAACTTGCTTGCTTAAATCTTCATTTGTGTGTCTTAGCGCATATGCTTCTGCTTTAATTTTCGCAACAATGTCACTCTGCTCTAGTTCAAAGGGGGAAACACATCAAAATTTCGTCAGCAAGTAATCTTACCTCTAAGACAACAGAGAAAGAAAAGGCTAAGAGCGATCGCAGAATACAACATATCTAAACTGGAGCACCAATTGGCATGACCAGATGGTGAACTGATGATAAGCATATAAAGAGTTACCTTATCATCATTAGGACATTACAGAATATGGTAATATTCTTCATTTACATCGAGCCCCTGGAACTTAATGCGAAACAAGTAAACAACAGAAAGGGGGAAGATGTTGTGCAAACACCTACCTCAGAAGCCTTAGCAAGAGAAGTCAACTGAGACTCCACGGAAGCAAGCTTGCAAGCTAGATTCCTCTTCTCCATCTGCAGCTCCTTGTTTAGCCTCCTCAGCTCAACCAATTCCATTTCAAGGTCCCCATTACCTTCCCTTCTCAAAACCTCATCATGCTTCTTCTCCGAGATGGAGCACATTTCGGTCATTTGTTCAACAAGACCGCTTTTTTCCGACTCCAAAATCCCGAGTCTCTGAGAGAGCTCATCGATCTGATTCTTACTCGCTTCAAGTTCCCCTTCAAGCTCCAACACCCTTCCGTTCCTTTTAAGCCCCGACAACTCCGCTTGCAACTTGAACTCCCTCTCTTTGGATTCCTGAAGCAAGCTCCTCAGCTGGTCCAATTCCAAGAACAAATCCCGCGACCCTGACGATTGCCTCCTCTGGTGCTGGCTCTGATAACCATGCGAAGGGTGGACTTGTGCTGCGGCAACAGAGCAGGAGAGATCGCCCATTAGCGATCGCTTGACACGAGCATGACTGGAAGCGGCCGAATTAGGGTTCTTCTGGTTTGGTGCGTCCGATTTCGCGGGCGGGAGCTTCTTAGTGTTCACTGTAATCGTCTGTGTCTTGGTCTTCTTCTCTGCAGTGAAACCCTTGACGATGTGTGAACCCAATGCCGACCGTAGCTTCGAAGAAGCGTTAACGAAACCCGCTCTCCCATTATTCTGTAGCTTATTTGGTGGCTGATTCTGATCCGCGAACTTCGATCCTCCTCTCGACTTGCTGATCTCCGATGGGTTTTCCTCCCTCATCGTAGTAACACTAACACACGCACGAACGGGCAACCGAAGCCGGGGAAAGGAAAAGGTTGAGCTAGCAGTCAAACTGAAGTTCGGAAAAGACAGATGCTCTGCCTCCTCGCCTTAAATGCGAGTGGTCAAGAAAACTTGAGCTGGTTTCGATCAGGCATTTTAACAAACAGCTGGAAGAAGTCCCATCGTGGGTGGATTTTGATTTTGGAATCTGTCAAGAGATGGTTGGGGCCGGGGAGCGTTTTGGAGCTCACTTGCGTTGGAATGGGGGAAAAGGGAAAGAAGATGATGAAAGGATCTCCATTGTCAGGTCCCAACCTTTGTTCTCAAGGACATCAGCTGAGCTGCGGGAGTGAGGCAAAGAAAGCAATGAGAGAGATTTTCTTACAAAGGGAAAGTATGCAGAGGTTCTTCTCTTTATTGCAAGAAGCAGTAAGTTTGAATTTTTGAAATTTGAAATCGACACTTCTCTTTATTTATTTAGCTTGTTTTGCTGTGCAACCGTTTTGAGAAGAACGAGGGTTCGATATTCAACGGTCGTTTTCTGTGCCACCGTGGGGAGTGAAGGTTAGGTTAGGTCCCACAAGTTCTAGTTTTTTTTTCTTTTTCCTTTTGGTTTGACCTCTCTCATATTTCTTCAAGGTTGTCGATCCACCGGTTGATTCGTTTTGACATTGACCCGGTGAGAAAATGTGTCACACATATTTGTCGGATTAGCCCGTTGCAAGGTTATCGAATTGGAGGTCTTATGACGTCGGTTTTTTCTATGATTTGCGAAATGTCTCTCTTTTTTCGATTTTCCTCTTTGCCTAAACCTATTTTCTAATTCTAAGTTGTATGTTTGAATATTGTTGTTATATAAGTGTATGAATTTTCATTATAGTTGGATCCAAGTACGACCTATTATTTTGAAGTAATGCTATATGTTATTGCTCATAAGTTAAATGATATTTGAAATAATTAATAAATGTATGACAGTATAAAGAACATTTTCATATATCTCGGCTAAAACGATTAGACTATTAACGCTCCCCATGCTTACTTGATTGGGTCAATGAGTTAAACTGGTTGCGAACCTTCATTTTTTTGCCCAAATAAACTTATATAGTCA